TACTGCTAAATTTTTCCTTTTAAGTTATATAAATTATGTGGTACTAAATTTCCGCCAATTAAAACTTAAAAACTGGAAATCCCATTTGAGTTTTTGTGCCATTTTAGTTGTAAGCTTAATTTTATGAATAATTTTCTGCATTTGATGAATTCTTGTCAAATCTTCTTGGATTGGGCACCAGGCTTATAGTAATACACAATATATAATAATGCGTAATAGCCTAATAGTTGTGAAAAACTGAGCTCTGACGACAAGTAATGAAGCTTGTTTCATAGACAGCAATAAAACATTTACTTCTAAACGAGCAACTGACGATTGTGTAATCACAGGCCAGAGTTCCTTTTCTTTTTTTTACACGCTGATGAAAATATAATCAAACATTATCTTCGCCTAGTGCCATCTATACATAAAAATTCTCTGCACGTCCCCGAAATAACTCAAATTCTTATACATATTAATATCAAATATATAATGTTCTAATTGTTACATAAGTCTAATAAATTTTAAAGTTCTTTCTAATAAGTATCAAACTTTTACAAATCTTCGTTAAACATTTTAAAATAAACTTATAATAATATAATAAGCATAGAAACTCTAAATTACACTTACATATAATACCAAATTATACGTGACTCACCAATGGCCGAGCGGTAAAATAGCTGAACACTGTTAGTTCCAAACTGAGTAACGGTAATGGTCATAACAATAACCGGTGTAACGGTCATTGCAGACAAATGGGCTAGCTGCATGGGTGTTTTCGTGGGTTTCCCAAGTGTAATGTGTGTACAAGCCAGTTTCCCTTAGAAAGTCCGCCCGAGGACATTTATCCCCTTAGGCAGGTAGCCCTAGTGGCTTTGCCGTAATTTCAATTAATCTATCAAATCAAATCAACCAAATTATGCTATTCAAATATTCAGTAACAAATCGACAAACAAATTAACATAGTATTCACCATATTAACCCTTAAATGCATGTAGTTGTCACTTGGAAACATACTCATATTTAGTCATGTAAATCAAATCAAAACACAAATTTCAGCTTACTGCATAGTGTAACCAATTGGAAACGTACTGTTTACGTATATAGTTTTGAAGGTTTGAGTGTAGTGGCATCACACTAACGGTGTAACCGTCATTATTGCGAGTTGTTGTGTAGAGTGTGGACATTTGTATTTACGAATTTTTGATTTTGCGTTTGTTGTTATTTTGATGTAGTCAAAGTTTTAAAACTGTTTGAACAAGTTTATAACTTATGTATTATTACACAAAATTGTTATTACGCATTTACCTATCATTTTATTTTTTAAAAGTTAACAACGTTTTTTTCAAAAATTTAAATAAAAATTTAGTTTAGATTTTTTTTAGCATTTTTCCTATTTTATTTGATACCAATTCTAATGTATTTTTTACCTTTAAAATAAAAATGAAAATTCATGCATTTAAGAGTTAAATTCAGATAATGTCTGTAAACTTAGCCACAGTTCTTTTCAAGTCGATCGTGAAGCACTTTAGTCCTGTATTCCAGATGGGTATAGGAGTAAGACTGGTTTCCGAATTATCTCATCTTTACTTTTAATTCTATAAGCTCTTACCTGATCATTTCCGAAGGGAAATGCTGTGGTGATCTTATCCATTTTCCAGATGTTTCTTCGAAAAATAGTTTCACTTAAATTTATAATTCTTCTATGAAGTAAGAAATGGTATTAAATGAAATATTTCTTCTGTCTTCAAATGGGTATACGCTAAAGGTCTCGAATTTATGATTCCCTCATTGTCGATCAGAACTATCTCTAATACTTTGGCAGTCAATGAAGCTCTTTAATTTGCTTTACTCAAACTTGTTTTCAGTGATTTGACTATTCTTTCATAAAATTCCCTCCATTACGCTCCCTTTTCAAGGATCTATTTCCGTTTAATTTGGTAGTATAAAAAAATATTCCCTTACCTCAGTGTGATTAATCGATCTTCATATTTGCCGTAAGTCCACTTCATATCGTTTAAATGTTAAATTATTCGTATAGATAACGGAATACAGATCTCTTCTAAATATAAATCCTCTGAAAGGGAACATTCTAGATCAATATATCCTAGGTGTAAATTGTATTGCTACGAAATGTCTAGGCGCGGTAATATAGCTTTCCGCAAAGCAGTTTTAGTGTTGCATAAAAGGGCAAGTGAAGGTAGGGTTGCCACATTTGGCGAGAAATCGCCCATTTAGCGACAGTTGGCGACAAAATGGGCGATATGCCACGGACGGATGGAGAACCTTCTAGAACGAATTCTTACCGGTTTAGCCCAGAATGTTCTCGAACACAAGCCGAAAGCTATATAAACCCTGCTGATTCGCAGTCAGTTAGTGTGTGTCTCGTCGAGTGCGAGATACTTAGTCTCGAGTTAGTCAGTCCGTGCGGATTCGACCGAGGTGACAGCCGGGCAGCGAGTGCCGAGTGGATCGTCGAGTGCATCGAAGAGTCTCTTAGTGTATCGCGGTTAGGGCATCGTCGAGAGAGTGTGTTAAGCTCCGGGAACGACTGAACCGAAGAGTCAGGAGCTGTACTCTGTGTGCGGTCGAGTGCATAGCGATTTATAGCGTGGAGAGTCTCGAGAGTACGTGGAGTTCCGAGAACGACCGAGCAGAGTCGGGAACTGTACTCTGGTGTTTAGCAGTAAAGCTGTCTTCCCCTTTATTGCATGTCCGTGTGAAGGCTGTGTCGCTGATCGTTCCAGCGTATTTATTGTAGATCTTCGACGAGTGTAAAAGTTTTATGGAGCTGTACTGATTAATATTGGTAAATAAAGTGCGTTTCGATACTTCATCAGGACGTGTCGTCATTATTCACTCCAAATCCACAGGAACCCGGTACGAACGGGAAGGAAAAAAATAACGTAACAACTGGTGTCAGAAAAGAAAAACACGCAACAGTATAATCAATCAAGCAAGGGTTTTAAGACAATAAAATATCTGGGAGTTACGTTTAACGAAAAGCTTACTTTTCTACCACATTTGAACCAAATAAAGACCGAATGTATTTACATTCTTAACAGACTCAATAAAAAGAATCTCGAAGGTAATGTACTTAAGAAATAACTCTCTTATACAAGAGAGCTATTGAGAGAAAGATTCTGTATGCATGTGATTCATGGTCAACTGCATTGGTCCGAATGCGCGTGAAAATATTACAAATTCAATGTAGAACTCTCTTAGGAATTGCTAAGGGTTTTAGAACTGTTTCGACAGCGGCTATTCATATTTTGGCTGGATATATTCCGATTGATATTTGGCTGAAAAGAGTATACTATTTACCAATTAAAAGCAGGCAATGGTACTGTTGATTGCCTCGGTGATGTTTTCTCTGCTAGACAGTTTGAACTAGATAAAGTATCATATTATCACACAGCCTTATCGAAGAAATTGAATTGGTATAAGGGCTTCCAATTATGTCAGGTTATACTATTTTTACAGACGGTTCTAAATTAAATGGTCAAGGGGGCGGCTTTTTGCGAGTTTTCTCGTGAAAAATTAAGTATACAAAGAAAGTATAGATTATCTGATAACGCATCTGTCTATCAGGAAGAGCTAGTAGCTTTACGGGAGGCCCTGTATTGGCTCATTTCTAATTTCACATAACATCCTGTCGAGATCTATAGTGCTATTACTTCAATTACGAACATTCATACTGATAACTATCTAATAAAACAGATAAAGGACATGCTCATTTTTCTTCGCACTTTTAGAGATGTTAAACTCTTTTGGACGAAGAGCCATATCGGCACTATCGGTAATGAGCTAGCCGATAGACTGGCAAAGTCTGCCACTGAAAGTCAAGTTATACATTTTGATTTAAAAGCTTCTTTTGATTGCCTGAAATCCTTGCTGAAAAAAAGAAATGTGACTTTGACATGTAAGGTGAAATGACCCTGATTCCAAAGGAAGGTTCACTTACAATTTAATTTCAATAGTAAGCGAAAGAAGGTGTATGAGCGACAAGTATCTTAATCACGCTTTGACTCATCATAGACATATTCCATCTTACTACGAGAGGTTCTCGATTAAAAATTGTGCTTGTTCTTGTAGTATAACAAAAGCTAATTTAGAGCACCTGTTCTTTAGTTGTTCCTCTATGAAATATATTGTACAAAGAAGTATCCCTAATATTGCTAAATTTAATACCTTAAATGATTTATGTAAAAATATGATGTCTTAAGATTGTCAAATTTCTTAAAATATGTGTCTGTAAACGAAATAGAATTGTATATTGAATAAGTCCCGGATATTCTGTCTGTTTTATTTAAAACTAAAATGTTCATATTTATATTGTTAATTTATTTTTTGTAGATTTATGTAACATATGTTTTGTATATGTAAGTAACATGTGTTTTATTTTATATTACAAAGTTTGTAATTAAGTGTTATTTGTGGAAGTGGCTGGTAGATCTCACAAGTTTTTAGAGAAGAAGTTTAAATCTGCAGTAGTTAATCCTTTTTGCTTTAGTTGTTTTAAAACAGTATGGTGTTCGTGGGCCTGAGTGGTCCCGTTTTATTATTCAATGCCCCGTTTATAACTATACTAAGCCTTATTAAGCCCCTAACGGTGGTACACGTAATTTTGATCAGTCATGCAAGAAATAAACACATCTATACAAAACACGTGGGCAAAGGTTTAAAAACACAAACAATGAAACCCTGAAAAAATTTATTACCCTGATTGCAAAAATTAAGCAAATAAAATAATACATAATATCTCAATACACAATAGAATACAAAAGCGGCAATATAATGAAAAGGATTTTAAATACTTACAGACATTTACAACACATCATTTCAAAAACATTTTCATTTTGTTTACCGAGTTACTAATTACATTAACAAGCGTATTATCGAAGATTTTCGCTGTAAATTCTTGTAGCATTTTTTTGCACTGACAACATGCAAAGAGTTATTAGTCTGATGCCTATCGGAAGATATGACATAAAAAATAATGAGATTGCATACTTATATAGGTCAGAATCAACAAGAACTTTGTAAAGGATCTTCTATACGAAGATGTGAGAAACTACTGACATCTGTTAATTTTTTCCCAAGAGATGAAGAACAATTCGAGCCAGTGTGTTCGTAAGTAAATTTTAATAGCTAACAGCTCAGTTCTGTAACATTCTCTGTGTAAATTTGCAACTTTTTTTTATGCTAATCTAACCAATTATTATGATTTAGACCTTTACTGCCACTTCTCCTTTCCGTTTCTCTACCAGAATGCAAATCAAGTTCGTGAGTATTTTAAGCTGAGAAATTTTGACCATAAAATAGAGAATGTTTCTGCGTTTTGAGAGCACGTTACTAGTTTCGTCAACTCTGGTAGAAAGTAATTCCTTAGCATTGCGTTTTTAGCGTCCGATATTTGATTACTTAAGCCGGCGAGATTTGCGAATTGAATTGAGTACTGTTTCACGACTAGCTACTTAAATTATAATTTGCATTCAACTTTTATTTTGCAACAACTTCGAAAAGACATAGTGCTGTTGACATAGTGCTGTCTGACATAATGCTGTCTGACCTAGTGCTGTCTGACTATAGTGCTGTCTAACATAGTGTCGTCATAAGTGCTGTCTGAATGTGTGTGCATTTTGTTCTGCTTTAGTTAAAATGAAAGTGTCCTTTACACATTTCTCAAATCTCATTTATTAATTTTAGATTTAGCGATTATTCGCTATCAGTCTATCTAGAGTTTGAATACAGTTTATGGTAGCTAAGAAGACCAAACTTTATAAATCTTTGAGCGCAGTTTTAAAATTACCATAAGTATATATATGCACATAAATTGCCGTGGCCATGAAATATTTTCTAAATAATTCTTCCTGTGATTGATTCCATGACTTTCTTGTACGGAATATTAAATTATACAACATTTTTTTCTTGCATTTCATTTAAACTTATTAAGTTGAATTAAATATACTTCGTCGATAGCTCATAAACCACAGAAGAATAAATGCACTCTCAAAATTCACTATATTTGTTTACCATAGCGACACTCTGGCGCTAGGTTCACTTAACAGCGTTATATTTCGTTCATATTTTAACTCAAAATGCACAAAATTTAGATCATTTGAAGAATTATCTAATCGTTGCCACACGTTCTATTCAAATACTATAATAAATCTAGAACGATGTATTAAAGAAATGAAGCAAACAAAACAAAAAAGAAAGAGTTTTTCAAAGACGATTCAGTATGTTTCATTTAGTTAATTTAGTTCTCACTTTGCAACAAGGCAAAAATACATAAAACCCCAAAAGTAAATCTTAAACACTTATTTCCTCGAAAAAAATTCCAGAAAGAATTAAGCATAATTTAATTCGCAATAATAAATAAAGGCGTTATCTTTGTGGTTTCGAAGCTTAGTCTCTCTAGATTGGCAAAAATATCTACTATTCTGTTGTTTCAAATGTAAACAAACATCTCCGCCATATTATTTAAAAAGTAGGCTTAACCGTACTTAAATAGCTTTTAAATTGTTGATAATTCTACAAATATTGCTTGCAGATTTCGTAAAGATATAAAAACCTCAACCGGAAGATAACAACATAACTAAATCATTTTTAAAGCAAAAAATGCACAATTTACAAACATATAAGCGTAAAGAAACTGAGATCACTGAGGCAGGTAACAGAGTGGTAAACACCCTGTATATAATATACAGGGTGTTTCATAGATCATGGGACAAACTTAGAGGCGTTATGTAGCGTACTAAAACATGCATTTTTTCATAGGAATGTAGGGTCAAAAGTGACGGGTTAAGGCAGGGACAAAAAAAAAAAAAAAAAAAAAAAAAAAAAAAAAAAAAAACCGGCACAAGAGGAAAATGTGTTTATGTATCAAATCAACGCAAAGTGCTTCTTTGTAGAAATACAGTATTCACAATTTTCAAATTTGCGACCATCAGCAGTAATACATGCTTGGTAACGTCGCAGAAGGGATTGACGAGCATTTTGAAAAAGGACAGGCATTTCGCACACGCTTGCAACCGCAATGGATAGTCGTGAAACGAAGGTCCCCTCCAGTGATTCAACAACGGGAGTCTCGTAAATGATGCTCTTCAGATGACCCCATCAAAAATTTCCAAGCTGGATAAATCTGGCGAATGGAGTGGCCATCGAACAGGTCCACCACGGACTCAATCCATCGGCCCGGAAATGTCCCATCCAAGTAATTGCGGATCATCCGCACGTGGTTATGGGCTAGTGCACCATCATGCTGGAACCACATGCGATTACGAACGACAGCCGGAACTGTAGCAATTCAGGTAGCACCTCTTGCAGAAAACTATGATAACATAAGCCATTTGTACGTGCAGGTAAGAGGTATGGGCCTATGAGGTAGTTGTTAACAATACCCGCTCACATATTCACGGAGAAGCGGGTTTGGAATGCATGTGGACGTGTGCCGTGTGGATTATGAGGATTATGAGTTGCCTACACGTGCATGTTGTGGCTATTGAAGATGCCGTCCTGTGATAAAGTGGCCTCGTCCGTGAATAGCACATCCGGTGGGAAATCCGCCTGCGCCGCACACTGCTGTAAGAACCAGTGACGGAAATGAATTCGAAGAAGGTAATCTGTCTCTCTGCAGATGGTATGGGTACAAACCATTTTCAAGCAATACTCTCCAAATGGAAGGACTCAGCTGCAGACGACGTGCTCTTGTACTTGTCTGAGGTGATTCATGCATATAGATAGATTCTTCAATGCGAGGTTACATCGTGCACTTCTTCCACTCCTAGTGTCAGAGGTGGCTTCAAATGACCCGTTTTCACACAGAGACCGATTACCAGTTAATCACAGCTGTAGTTCCTATTAATGTTAGTGTTCCCTTTTTTGAACATTTATTGTGAATACTGTATTGCTACAAAGAAGCACTTGCGTTGATTTTGTACATAAACACATTTTCCTCTCGTGTCGTTTTTTTTTTTTTTTTTTTTTTTATTTTTTATTTTTTGCCTTAACCCGTCACTTTAGACCCTACATTCCTGTACAAAAAATGCATGTTTTAGTACGCTCCATCATCCCTCTAAGCTGTTCCCATGATCTATGAAACACCCTGTATAAATATATTTATATACGTTTGGTGTGGCCGATAGCAAAAAAAATACGAGGTGCACATCTACATGTTATAGCAGTCTTATATACAAAATTTCAACGTTCTGAGGCTACTCGTTTTTGAGTTATGCGAGATACATATACGTACGTACAGACATCAGGAAAATTTCTCTTCAGAATGCATTTTAAAACAGTTTTATAATTTTTTTTGAGGAAATGAGTCTTTTATTCTATCCTTACGTACAGATGTCACGCAAAAACATCGTTAAATTGCATTCGATAGCGGCTAAAATGGATATTTTTGTTGAAATATGCTGCCTGAAACTTTTCGCGACTACAATACTTCCTTTATACTTTGTATAAGGAAGTAAAACGATATGAGTTCTTAATATGAAAACGTTTTATTTATATAAATTTGATTGGCGTGTTTAATAATAATTTAAAAAAATAGCTGATAACATATAAAAATATCACAAAATGGGCCAAAAGAATGGAATTAGACCTACTTATAGGGAAATCTTTGTTGTACGGAGAAAAAATAGACTAATTTATTGATGCATCTAAGTAATTTGCTACATTGTAGAAATGCCATGAGTAACTCATATGCATTATTCTTATTTTTCTTTTTCATAGGGTGAATTAAAAAGGTTAATAATGATAATTTTATTCCTTTAATCCATCAGGATTAGAAGTTCAAGTTTTCAAGGTGGAACAATAAATATTGTGAAAACAAACATCTAGAATGTAACCAATACATTTAATAACTAAAAACGTTTACTAGTTCCCATTTTTGAAACTTTAAATCATTCAACAATTACACAAACCATAAGAACAAAATTGCTAAAAATCAAGACATATAAAAACTCTCCTGATCACTTTGTAAATAACGTGTAGTACTCCTTAAAAAACTAGTACGAGGGGAGCATATATCGCAAACATTTTCGGTGCGTTCGTGAGGAAATATCACGGCTTACGAGGGTCATGACTGTCCCTAGTGGCTCAAACAATTGAGGATACATCTTACTTTTACTTAATAATATAGTTTCCATAAAAATAACATATTGCCAAGAAGAACTAACACGTTTTTATTTTTACACGTAACAAATGAATTAATTTAAACTAAAAGAAAAATCAACAAATATATATATATACTATATGTATATAATTTAAAGTTAAGTTGTAAGAACAAACGAAAAAAGACCAATTTTGGTCAAAATTTTGCGCATTGTGCTGCAAAATTAAGGAAATTAGAAGAAAATTTTAGTACGAAAGCCAAAAAGTTACCAAAAACTGTGGCTCCGGGTAAACATTACATAAGCATATTTAGTTGCTATGAAATGTGTGGAAGGAGGAGAAAAATACAATAATTGAATATTTACAAGTAAAACTAATAAAAAGTAAGTTTATTGTAATATGTTGCAGTGCTTTTTACTGTTTCCTAAAGTGATATTCTATGTAAATGTTCATTTTGAAAAGCTTTTACTTGAAAAACTAATAGAATATCTTGCTAAAACATCTTTTTTTTTCCTTTTCAGAATAATGAAACAATTTCTGGCATGTCTGAAGACAGGAGAAGAAGTATGTCACGAACCAATATTTAAAAGTAACGATCAGTATGAAGGGATTGTCCGGCTAATGGATAATATATGTGATAATAACACTCTTCTTCATTATGGTGAGTTAAGTGAATTATATTTTTAGATACACTGAAATTAATAATTTTAAATAGTGCACAAAAATAAACCAAAAAATGTATTTAGCAAAAATTGCAGTTCTAAAAAATTATACACTGTTTTCATTTTTAACGTTAACTGATTGTAACTCCATACATATTTTCAAAAACAAAAATGCTTCGATAGTATGAAACTGAAGATATAACGAAATGTTGCATTCGTCAAGTTTTCTGAATATAACAAGGTCATGATTAGTTATTTAAATGTTGCGAAACCTCTGTACCCCTTCAACTAGAGACTTCGTAACTTGCCTATAAATCCATTTTTAAAGCGTTTATTTCACCTTTATATTGTTGCGTGCGTACCAGTTATCAGTAGTTACACTTCAAACTAAGAGTATAATACTGCGTGCGTACCAGTATTCGTACCAGTGCTTAACACACTGGTACGTACCAGTACCACTTCAAACTATTAAGAGCGTTAAATATAAGACAAATGCAAAACGAATTTAAAGAGAACGCTAACCCAGATATCTGAGTTCAGGCGGAACTAAACAACTCGCAACAACAATAACTAAGCAACAAAACTAAACAACTGAGAGCAGATGCTCTTTCTTCGGCCTTAAATAGTTTTCAACCGGCCGTAAGATATTTCTAGTACATTCTGCTTCTCAGAATTACTGGAAAACAATATGAGGGTAGAATTACGGTTACAGCTGACATAGTGGTCAATTAAATTTATTCAATTTCAATATATATTACGGTGGTGCAGGCAACGGACGAAAATGTAGCCAAATTTAGCGACTTTTGGCGATTTTTCGTCCAATTTGGTGACAAAACACGTTGTTAAAACCATTGTCAGCTTGGCGATATATCGCCAAATTACCGAGATATATCACCAACTTCATATTAAATGCACTTGCTCCTGTATTCTTACAGGGGGACGAGAGTTGCTTTTTAAAGTAATAAAGAAGGCACCATTTTTAAAAATTTTTAACTCTGATGGTACTTTTTATGTTACTTGGAATTAGAATATCGCCATTTTCAAAAGAAAATGGCATTTTACCATGAAAGGTGATTCATAAAAGTCACCGAATCTGAAATCAAATGTGTTATGAAAGCAAGTACCGAAGGGGAATTGTATTTTAATAATAATATTTAAACGATGACGAAGCATTTCTGAATGTTCTAGCAACATGTATATTTGTAATGGAACGTGGTTTGAGGTAAGTAAAAGAAGAATAAATATCGTAATCAGCAGCAATATTTATCATGGATGTGTATTTTCAGAGTGAGTAAGCGTACCTTTCCATAGGCAAACGTATTGAATATCAGGGTATAATATTGCGTGCGTTTACTAAAGTAACACCTAAGAAATGTATCTTTGTCCACTTAAAATAAATAAAAAGTATTTCAACAAACAAAAGTGAAAATTAGCACACACAAAGACGAATAATCGTTGACTACAGTTTCGTTGGAAGAAGTCCAGCATTCTCAAAACCTTGGCGTTATGATAAATAGGATTCCAGTTAGAAAACTTCACGTGGAAACTCAATTACGTTAAAAATACTTTTTCTCTTTTTGCGAAACACTGATGTCCTAGCATTATTATATATAAATTATCATGAAATGTTAAGGAAAATTATAGATAATTATATACATTAGTCTATTTCTATTTATCTTTAATGTTCCAACCTAGAATTTACAGCTAAATGTGTGGAACCTTGAGAGCGAATAATCGCTTTAGTTCAGGGGACAGAATATTAAGAAAGGTTACTTACCCTTTATTGCTCAAAATAAAGTTCACAGTCGATCCTCTCTCAGGACGTACAGAAAAGCCTCTACTTGGGCTTTGAACTCAAGAATACTAAGAAATAAAACTTAACTAAAAAGATATAGCCGAAGCTATCAAAATTCCACAGGAGTTGGCCCCTTAACGCTAACTAAACGGCAAAGCTATCAAGGGCCTGAAATACGGCCGAACGTAGAAATAGCTTAAAAAGAGTGTAGTCAAACGTGGTCAGAATCTCTGGCTCTCTAACGAAGTCAGTGGAACTTCGACTTTAAATACTGCTCTTGTTCATTTGCCTTTAACCGCGATTCTGAAAACACATTCTCGCAGGAAATTTGCCAGTTGAAATTAGAAGCGACAGGAAAAGTGGCTTTAACTAAAAATTAACTGTTAAAAACTTCGTATGAACCTTAAATATCTATTTCTCGTCTGTCAGAATGAATTTACAATGTTTACGAATCACATTTGAATTTTCCTCCTGCTCTTCCTGCAAACAAATGGCAAACAAGTTGGTTGTTTTTTTTCTCATGTTTTGTCATTTGCTTTTTTTAAAACAAAATGGAATTATAACACACTCGAACAAGTGCTTTCTAAGTGTTTAGAAAAAAAAATCGTACTTAATAGTATAACATTTTTATAAAATCTAGCAGTAATAATATGACGATTTCGTATTAACTTTGCGTGTACTTCATGACTATAAGTTACTGGTATTTCCGTAAGTTTTGAACGCGGAAGTATGATGATGACATATTCCTCCAACTGGATTACTTCAATTGGCTTTAGCTTTGCTAGCTGTGTCAGAAGCTGTAGGTGAGGTTTACCTTGTTAATTATTTATTTAGATTTTACATGAGTTTCTTTCTGAGTTCTTGAAAACTGCGGAGATTTGATTTTCTGTCACTGCGCAGGTTGAAGAAGAAATTAAAAATTTTATTTTAAACATTTCAACTTTCTGTCTTTTCGGTTTCAGGCTGTCTTTTTGGTTTCAGGCGTTAACATTTATAATAGTTTCAATTAGTACAGCTTATCACGAAATATGAAAGTAGACGACAGACAAAATTTTGCTCAATTGAAGGATTGTGGAATTCGGGAATGTAGGTTGTTTGCAGTTACGGTTTTTGAGAGCGATCAGTATTCATTGGTTATGGTTTACGATTTAAAATGCTCAATTTAAGCGAAGGGCAAACGTGGTGGTTAACAGTAGTAAGCCACTTTACTTAGCCGGGAGAAGTGATATCACAGAAAAGAGGCGTGGTCGTCTTGGATCACGTGTCATCCGGAAGAGACGTCGCTATATCTTGGCTTTACTTCGAATTGATGTTGACGTGTTTGAATGTCGTCAGATTTGATCATTTGTATTTTTGTGAGGCAAAGGTAATTTTTTTTTCGATTTTATGGAAACGACATCTTGAACAGCATGTTTAGGATCACATCAATTTCAATTAATTTTTTTTCTAAAGTATTTTCAATGGTTTAATTTGCCATTATTTAATATCTCATTATTTGGAATTATTTAATCTCTTATTATTTTTGAACTGAGCATTTCATTATTTAATGTCTCTATTTTTAATTGATTTAATCATTTATTTTAAATACAATATCATGAAATTACTGTTCGAATCGACTGGGATTCGAACCTGACACCTCTCGTATGGGAGACGCCACACATAATCGTAGAGTTACCAATCATTAAGATGAAATTAGCTTGCCGAGTTGCGTAGAGAAACAACCCTGCCATGACGTTTAACAACTCAAACTGAAAATTAACAGAAAAAATATCGGAAATTCATTAACGTGTACCAATTGCAAAGATGAAATAGTTTCGATGTGTCTAAAAGACTATAGAGAGTTCACGCTTAAACGTTTTCAAAAGCTCAACGACATCACAAATACGCAAATTTGATGAAACAAGATATTATTTAAAAATCTGCGTTCGAAATTTTAATTTTAATATAGGATAATACACACATAAGAATTAAATGTGGATACTCATGTTCCTTGCGTATTTCTCGCCCCCTTGCTTTTTAGTGTCAAGTTCTGAATGTGTTAAAAATGTCAGCATAATTTTCTTCTTCAATACGTTCGGAGAAAAAGGCTTCCCTAAATTTTAAAGCTGATTCGTCCACAAAATAATTGTTTTCGTCCTACTGACAATGGAAACCCTCAAAAACTACCTACGAACCCAATACAAGAACCGACTCATCACAGCAAAGCAAACATAAACTGACATCCATTCTACGATTTTGCTCAGTCGCACATTCACCTTTTATAATTTTTTTATGGATTATTTGCGAAAAAGAAAGAAAAGAACGGCAAAAAGAACGGGTGAGAATCAAGTTAAAGGTAAGTAGAAATGAAGATATATTATTAGATACTGTATTGTTAATATTACTGTGTATTCACTTTTCAAACCGTTGCCACCAAATGTTAGAGTCCTGCATTATATTTGAAGAAATTAAATAATGAAAAATCTGCATAAATGTATGGATATTTCTTGCATTGTGATAAAACCAACGGTACATAGAGCCATCGATTTTGAATCACGATCCTCTACGAAATGGGTGTAAGACCAAATTTGAAATTGGGAAGTCGTTTATTATCGATTTACATTTTCTAAAGTTTAACGAATTTTTGATAACAAACTCAACGATTTAAAAGAGAGCAATGCAAAACTCTACAGCGGGGGGGGGGAAACCTTTTATATCCAGCGGGGCGCGGAACTATGTACCGGACATTCTAAAGATAGACTCATTTAAAATTATTTTGCGACTTGTACTGAACTGAATTTATGGTTTAGGGCAAAGAACATGATATTTATAATAAAGTAACACACAAAACGTTAAAAAAGCCCTTTGGACGTAGTTAATATCTGAAACCATTCAGATTTAAAAAAAAATGTTTCTTATTGTATTTAGCTTTTTCTCTTTTAACGAAGCAAAACTGATAGAATATTGTAAGGATTATGTTAATTTTATAAGAGTTAAATCTGAGTTAAACTTCCTTCCTATCGCTTTTTAATTTCAAATACCACTTCTGGCCAGAACATAGTTTTAGAATCATTCAGAATCTAATGAGAATGAACATTCGAGAATTTAAAGCGAGCATGGCCACGTTGTACAGAAAAAATTTTATTTCCAGAGCGTGTGAGGTGCGTATCGGAAATTTAAAGATAGCTCAATTAAAACTATTTTGCGATATTGCTCTGACTGAATTTATGTTTAGGGCGAAGAACATGATATTTAACAAATAAAAGTAACAGACAAAATGTTAAAAAAAGCCCCTTTGGACGTAATTCAAAATCTGAAATGTTTCAGATTTCTTTTCAAATCTTTTTAATATCATTTTTTAAAATTTTCTTTTTATATTGATTTTTTGGGGTCTATTTGTTATTGGTTAATCCTTTAGCGTGATTCTTTTCGAAAGAAATGGAATTAAAACAATTAAAATCAAACTAAAAAACATTTATGCAAATAAATGGACTTCCGAATGTTCCGAAAGTTCACAGTCCGAATGAAGACATGAAAATTTTTAAATAATTATTTGAAAAAAAAATCATCCACGCAACTCAAATAATTAAAATAACATTCTAAAAAAAAGAAACAAGTATAATATAAAATAAAAGTACTTGAAAAGGAGAATCGAAGCATTTTTTTCTCCGTATGTACAGAATGAAGGAGGAAGTGAAAATGTTAATACAAATTAAGAAGTTAACCACGTGAATTATTCTTCGCGCAAAGTTAAAAAAGCTCGCCAATATATATTCTCGTATTACTCTATAAGGTTTTCAACAAATTAGGCATAATTTCACTCATAAATTCAAAAACATGGGAAAAAAGCATGTCATTTCAGAAAAAACTAATTTTGTCTCAAAATAAACATGTTAGAACATAAATCTTAGTATAAATACATATACATTTAAAGTCGCGCTTTCTAGATTGGAAAAATGCAAGTTCAATTGCGTTAAACAGAAATGTAGAATGGGAGATACAGAACTACCTCTTCTCCTTTTTGGGAGCTATGCATTTATGATATTACTTTTAATGATTTCGAAATATCTACCGAATATGTTGCAAAACTAATACCAATACCAAAATGGCTGATTTCCTTGATATCAATATTTTCAACTGCAAAGAAATCAAACTCTTTGACAAAACGAGACACCAAATTTAAAACTAATAAATCAAAACTCAATCTACTACTTCCTTTCATTTGGCTGTTTAACAGAATTCCTAGCTTGGTATGATGATCAAAGCAGTTTCACTCCTTTATGCTGAGCATATATTGATGAAATGGAAAGGCGTTACCTCTATTCATAAGAATATTAAAAAACCGAGGTGATTCAGAAAGAATTTATAGTATATAAGGAATCAAAACCGCTTGGATGTTTGCGGATATATTTGTAGAATTCCTCAAGAAAATACAAAGGATATTGAGAAGACAAAATTTTATTTTGCATAAAATTTATATTCTTTATGTTATAATATTTTAATCTTGCGATTTAAAAAATGAAATATTTACGAAATATGGATATTTTAAGAAATTTAAAGTATGTTTGATTTTATTTTGTTTGGTTTATCGAATTATAGTAAAACAGACAAACGCTATGTGTGTTAGGAGAGGCATGCCTTCGTGGAGGACTTTCTAAGAGAAACTGGTTTGTATCCATAAATGAATGCGCAGACGTAAGGAAACCCACGAAAATACCCAAGAAATCAGCCTGTTCGCCAGGAATCGAACCTAGTACCGAACTACCAGGTTTCAGCGACATTATCACTCTAAAATAGGATGATAAAAGATGTTGCCATAAACTGAAAAGTTCGTGAATTATTTTGGCACAACATTTAAAAAAAATTTCCAAGCTGAGTTCTTCAATTACTTTTTAATTTCTTATCAAAATTTACAAAATTTGGTATTGGGGACAAATTTGTATGGCAGATTCGAAATATGGAAAGCCGTCGGAGTGGCAATTCAGAAAAATCCGATTTTGCGTCAGAATACGTGCATTAGAACAGTATTGTTCTAATTTCGGCTTTAGAAAAACCCAAGCTGAATTGCGTTAATGGGCACAGTAGAACGGGAGACATAAAACTGTACCCTCCTCCTTTTTTTTCTCCCCCTTAGTGTACATCTGTTTCTCGACCTCGGCTCTAAAGATCACATTTTGGTATCGTTGATAGGTTTTTAATTGCACTAGAATAGCAATTGTATTTCATTTCTACTATGAAAAAATCTTCTCTTAAAAATATGGAAAAGCACGGTTTAGTTACGATTAATTTAAATGCTTACGATTAATTTAATTTAAAAATATGAATTTTGTAAAAATTACCAAATCTAACTTTACTGTTCCTTTCTTAAATTTTCCGAAATCTGCATTGAAATAATTTTTTTGGTCACTACACAAACATTTAGGAAATTTTTTACGCTTTATTATTAAAAAAATAATAATAAGTATTTTTCAGAGCAATTATTTACATTTACAGATGAGTTTTACATAGAAAACTTGAAAGTCAAGATCAGAAAGCTCACACAGCACATTGCGCAAAAATATTTTGACCGAAATTGGTCTTTTTTCTATTGTTCTCACAACTTTTCTTACTTTGTAACTTTTGTTACTTTGTTTCAACTTTTGTAATTATATATATCTATATATATAATTCAAAACAATTTTGTAAAAACATAATATAATCACACCTAGTATTTTAACGCATTAAAATACTAAAAAATGATCAGTAATGACATAAAGGAAGAAATTTAGAAACAATTTTTCCCAAAGACCAAAAACTGAAATTCATAAGTAATAAATTCCAAATAATTCCATAAATGAAAAAAAAGAATTTAATAACCATTAATGTTTAAACCAAAACTTTTTAACCAAGCAATATCCCAATTCAAAACATTAAAGAAATTTAAAGAAAAAAGGAACATATTAGAAGAGGAATTCAATCAATTTCAATGCCACTTCGTCAGGAGGAGGAGCATTGAAATTAATTGAAAATCTCGCTTCCACAAATGTCCTTGCTTTTCTGTATCCAGAATTAGCCGATGAACCATTTGAATGTATTTAAATTGTAATAGTTCACCAGAAAATGGCTTTATATATATATATATATATATATATTTAACGTCTTAGGCGATTTTATTCAAGGTAAGAAAATGAACAAAGGGTGAATTTGTAGACCACAATGGAGTATCCAGTCATTGGCAGAAATCGCGACTACATCAAACATTTTTCAGAACAGCATTAATGCGTAAGTCCCGAAGTAACTTCTAAATCATAATGATTACTTTTGTTTTTCAGCTTATATGGTAACTGCACCTTGCTTCGAGTACTTAGCGGACAACTATACGGATGTCTGTATTGATTCCAAGCCCGATCTCTTTTGGGATTATCACGAATGGATCGAAATGCTTATTTTAAATATAGTACGTAGAGGCAATGTAGCAATCAGTAAAACATCTGGAACTGAACATTTGGATTTTTGGAAACTTTTGTGCTTGTAAGGATGCTTTTATTTTCAATTTACTTTTATTTCTGAAATTGTTTTGATGCATAAATAATATTTTAAAAGCAATTTGTAATAATTATATAATTATATAATAATATTATGAATTATTTATTTAGGAATAATTAAATTAATCTTAAGCACAGGTTTCGTAGCTTTTAGCGAAATATTTATTTGGTGACACTTATAAAGACAATAACTAACTAAATATGGTAACTTGCTTCAATTTCGAAAGAAATATCCGCTTTCCAAAATTAGTAACTAATGTCACCAGCAATCATCTCTAGCCTTGCGATTTCAACATCGGGTATTAACCACATTCGTACACGCTGTACACTCGACGTGCTCCACAAAATTCTTAACCAGACTTTATTTTTACAACCGCTTGTCACAGAAACGTACTTCTAATTACGAGAATGTTTTAAATGATGTAAAGAGTTGTAGAGCTATTAGGTTGTTTTGATGATGGGGACGTGAAAAATGAGCAATGCCCTCGTCCGGTCCCGAACCTGGACCTTTCGAATACGCGCCGAGTGTGCTACCGTCACACCACCAAGGCATAAAGAAAGGTCCAGACTCCAGTCCCAACGAGGGCATTGCTCATTTTTTACGCCTCCAACCTCAAAATACCCAAATCACTCTAAAGATTCATATTTCGAGTTTTTAACCCAAAGGTTCAATTTGCCCAGAAGAGCTATTAATTTCGTTTTGGCATTTGCGTTAGTTTGCTATAAACGGCATTTCACTTTTCAAATTGTTGCCACCAAATATCAGAGCCCTGAATTATATTTAAAGAAATTAAGCAGGGATGTATATAGGTTTCTCGCACTGTGAAAAAACAACGGTTCCTAGAGACATCAAATTTTGAATAACGTACTCCTCCACTCGAATATGGGCCCCAATTAGGAATTTGGAATTTGTTTCATCATCTCTTTCATATTTTAAAAACGGTAGTCCAGTGCTTTAACCTCTAGCGATACAGGAAACTACACAGAGGAAAGGGTTCAAACCCTTTATTAACTCTTCAAAATTTACACTGCGTCCACTTGACGCTAACAAACTTCGCCTCCAGTTGGGCGGTAACTAAAGAGCAGATAAATTAAAAATCAAAAAGTTGAAATGTTTAACAAGTGCTAAACTAATCTACTGGGCTCAGCGAGATACCGACCTTCGACCTCGTCTATAACTAGTGGCAGCAAATAAATGCATTTTAGTCACTTAAACCAGCAATTAGCAATTGTACCTACGGCAGAGACGGATGCTCGAGCCCAACTCTCTCACTTCCCTTCTAAAACCTCAGTATTTAAAATTTCCTCCTCAAGGTAGAATTTGCATTCTCGTCACGCTCGCTACCAAATTTAACTATTCTGGCACTGACACTTAGGGGAATGAAGGCTTATAGGAAAGTCTGAATTAAAATTTAAATTATTAGTAAAACTAAATATAAATCTATACAAACTTTTAACGAATTTATGATTACCAAACTCAACGATTTCAAAGCGAGCAACGGCAAAACTGTACGGGAAAAATTTATCTCCAGCGCGAGAAATTGTGTATCGAAAATTCTAATTAATATTTTGTGATATTGCTTTTGAATTCAGAACATGATAAGTGCGAAGAACATGATATTTAATAAATAAAGGTAACAGACAAAATGTTAAAAAATGACTTGGGCGAATTATAAAATCCGAAAGCTTTGAGATTTTTTTCCAGTTTAAAGATATCCATTTTGTAAAAATTACCAAATCTAACTTTAATGTTCTCCTTTTAAATTTTGCGAAATCTAACTTGAAAAAATTTCCTCTGTTCACTATTACATTTAGGAAAATTTGTATTCTTTATTATTTAAAAAAAAAAAACTGAGGGAAGTATGTGATTAAGATCCAGACAGAATTCGAAGAACTATACGTTTAAATTTCTATGTAACTGAAAAAATATAAGTTTGCAAAAAGTTTTTTATACCAAGAGATTAAATGATGAGCATGCAGATTATTGGTAAAAATAATCCATCTGTATAAATATATTTCTAAGAAGTTTTAGCAGGTTTCAGTATTGGCTTGTAGCCAATTCATAAAATGATTGGCATTAATTAAAAAGGAAAAATGTCGTACTTCTAGTTTAATGATGTTCTTTACTGTTGTCAGATTATGATTCTAAAGCCAGAAAACTTTGTGAAGAAGAGCAAATTTTTAGACTTTGAAATCTTATAAATTACTTGTCTAAAAACTCTTTCAGCACATCAGATGTAACATAATTTTACATTAAAGACACTAGTAATTCACAAAAACATATCATTGTATGGGATTTAAGGGGAAAGAAATCAACATCAAATTAAATCTTATTTATTTATTACGTCAACTTCTTATCTAATTATTAACCTAACCCCCGAATGCGAGTTGAAAATAACCTCAAACATCGAAAATTATGAAATTACATATCTCGGTCAAATTTTGACATACGGGAGTCAAATGTTTTGGATTTCATTTACTTTTTTGCACATATACAAAATTTTTCTAAGGACCAGAAAAACGTACACAGTGTTAGTTTTCGTAATTTTTACAAAATTGTTTTCTTTAAATTTAGAATTGCCAAAGCATAAATATTTGTGACATTTAAAGCCTTTTCGTAATCGGGAATCTATGTCTACGACCATCATTTTCGGAAATAAAGGCCATATACGGATGCGGTATATATTTTTGTTTAAAGAAGGCTTGAAAATTAAATTTGAGAATTTTATAAGTGCAGCATTTTTTGAATTTTCAAAACTGTATAGCTAATATGATGAAAACATAATTTTTCATATATTATTTTTGCGAGCGTAGAGGTTTTTAGTGAATTAAATGCACACAGAACTGATAATAAATTGATAAAGTTTATTTTCACGAAAGACACCCTTTCCTGTTCTAGAGCTTTCTACAAAACCAGTCTTGAGGTCCTCTCAGATAGACAGAGAGTAATTAAATTTTAAGCTCCTAAGAACGGGAAACATAACACATCTTAAACGTGAGTTAAAAATATGCAAAGCGCCTCTAAAAAGATAAGCGATAAGCTCGCACTTTTATTCATTTCCAAATAGCCGTTAGCCACTACTAAGGCCGAAACGGTGGGCACTTTATTATGGAGGCAACAAATAACAGGTGAGCCACCGCTGCCTGCTATGAAAGTGCAGACAGTTTACATCCATACCTTCTTCGGAATTAAAACCCGGGCTCTTCGATACGGCATACTCCGAAGTCAACTCTGAACTAAACAAATAGAGCTGATCGTGGATCACGGTGGTGTACGATCCACGATCCATTTAGCCACTGTCGGCTTTAACCGTGGTTCTGTCCGGGAATTGCTTCACTTTTTGGATCATAATCTTACCTCTCATGTTTTTATTCTTTTCTTTCTTCTCTTGATGTACATTTCTGTGTAGGCTCTGTAATAGGCTATCTACTTATCATACTTCCCGAGGCTGGGTTGAACGGATAGTAGATACTTTCCACCAGGCTGACGTAACACTGTAAGGCAGAAGCTAGGTCTGTTATTATCCATGTTGGTGTTTATGCCCCTGTCTGCTTAAGGCCTTATGTTAGCTTTACCCTATCTTTGGACTTGCTTCTACGCAAGCGGCGGTGTATGCAGAATAAGCACTAAGATGCTGTGCTGTTAAACGGCGATGGAATCAGGCTGGTTCGAGCTGATAAGTAAGTTAGAACGTAAACGCAGTAAATGGGAGAAGTCAAATTTCTGTGGAGACAAGTAGAGCGATTCAGAGACGTCTTTCCGCAGTTTGAGAAAAGTAATTATGATTATATGTTTCTATTGTTGAAGGAACTATGCTAATCTTAAACGTGAGTTAAAAATATGCGTTAATGATGTTTGTAAGCAGGTATAACATTTCCTTCGAGCTTCTTTCATTGTTTTGCTGGATATGTTGTGAAATCCGCGAGCTTGTTTGGTGCCATTTTTTTTTTAGATTTAACTGGGAGCTGCATATGGAATGCCGGTGGAGTCATTGCTTTGTACATATGACCGTAGGCGATTTCGAATTTCTCAACAGCAGCCTATAGTAATAGCAAACTCAGTGTTGGCTGTAGTACAAAGCTGAGGATTCCATTGTAGACTTTTTAGCTGGGGTTTAAATTTTGTCCAGCTTGTGATTTTTGTTTTCTAATGCCGATGCAATACAGTCCATAAAAGGTGAACATCATTGGAAAGTGATTTGAGCTTATGTCTTCCAAAACTTCCACATGTAAGGTGTGATGTATACTGTAAGTCAGTAGATTTTCAAGTATTTGTTATGCATTGTTATGTATACGAGTTGGAAATGTGCGCTCTATAACCTTGATCCCATGCTAATTGGGAAACTGTTATAAAATTCTTCCATTAGAGTTAGTAATTTTTAAGTTCGAGGTGGGTCTTTTTGAATTTCAGTCTCCCACGAGTAAAATTGGGTATTGAGCTCTTGTGAGATTATCTAAGTCTTCATTGGTAAACATTTGGTTGGGGGAATATAAACTTAAATAATAAGGAAAAAACATTTTGTGCTACAGTATATTAATGAAGCTGTTGTTTCAATATGCATTGGATTTGGGAGTTTGTATTTGAAAAATTTGAGATATTCTTTATTACAAACGCTGTATTGCTTCCTTTGCATGCGGTCCGTGAAACTTTATAATCATCTAGTAGATAGTACATGAATGTACTCTAAGGGGTACGCGTTTTGATATCTTGAATGTACTCTAAGGGAATGAAAGCGCATCCGCAGGCGACGAAATAACAGATCAATAGGGACAGACGAAAGTACCGACCGAAGAGAATCTGGGATGGAGAATAACTGGTAGTCTCGGGAATAGCACTGCGATAGGCGAGTAGGAACAGAGGTAGCTTCTGATCACAGTCCTGTCGATTTCTATAAACCATTAGCGACATTATTATAGATGTTTCGATTAAATCTCTCTACTATGTTGTCTAAATGCGGATGTAAAGGTGTCGTTTGGGTTTTGTCTATGCCGAGTAGTTTGCAGCGTTCTTTGATTATAGCCAAAGTAAAATTCTTTACTTTATGAGAATTTAACTGAAGACGCAATCCGAACCTAGAAATCCAATGATGTATCGTAACCTCTGCTAGTGTGATAGTTTTGGATAGGAATAGGCTACGCCTCAGGTCATTTTGTAAAGAATTCAATGACAACGAGGATGTACTTGTTGCCATCAGCAGTTCGTGACAGAAATTCCAAGACGTTGAAGCTGATGTGTCCAGGAAGCGTTCTTACGTTATGACGTTGCAACTTCCATCGACTGCGTTCGGTCCATTTTGACCCACAAACGTATCGCAAGATTGACAGCGATTTTGCACGTTAGTCCTTGCATTACACCAGTAAGAGAGCTCTCGAACTTTATGCAAAGTCTTCATTATTTCGAAGTGGCCTTCTGTGGAACTGGTTTCACCTGCGTCAGGAGATGTACGTGAGACAACATCTTGAAATTCTTGAATGACACGTTTGGCAGTACTCCTTTCTTCATCGTTTAGTTGGACATCCGCAATGAGTCCGATGTTAGGTTCTCTGAAGACAGAAAGATTAGAGAACTATTGGATTCGTTTAACACAGGTCACTGGAGGACATAATGCAACCATATTTTTTCTTTCAATTTATCACTTACGTTGAAAATTATCACTGCAATGACCGTCTTTAATAGATCGATGAATGCCAAGGCTAATAGTATTCTTTTTATTCTGTTACATTTGTTAGGAGATTCTATTTTGGCGCACCCGGAAATTTCTGTTCCAGGTGTTTATCCAGGAAGTAAAAATTCTGTTCTTGCTGGTACTATGACATCTTGACCTATGATTTGTAGGACGGATGTAACTCTTTTTTCTTTAATTTCGAACACGGTTATGTCTTCAGAAGGAGAATGCAGTTCTTTTTTAAAGTACAATGAAAAACTGTATTTCCTCAGAAATTCAGTCCGAGCATGAAAGGGTTTTTAATATTTGCCACATCTTCTGTGCGATGGTAGGCGACGTTTCTAAATGTAATGTTAACATTTAATTTTCCGTAGGTGTCAACTTATCTACAGGCATAGTTTCGAAGATTAACGCAGGGTGGTGTCCAAATGAGTTTAACTTTAAATTCTTGAGCGAAATCTTTTCGGATGATGATATAATTGGAGTGACCATATTGGAAAGAACTCCATTTATATGACACATGACGAAGTATCCACTACTGCTACCACTCAAGAAATCTGACACATTTTAAAATGGGGCTTCTCAGTATCTGGCAGCCTGCGCCCCGCGAGATGGTCAGTAATTACTTTCCCTCATTTGTTCTGGGAGAGGTAACATGTATTACGCATGTTACGCATGTTAACTCTATGTATGCCCCATATTAACCCCTATGTTTTTAGCGTTTTCTTCGTACGAGAGTTTCACCACAGCAGTTCCACATTTTAGAATCGACGTGTTTCCACTCATATTTCGCTTCAAGACATTGAATTGCGCAGTTGACTAGTCTAAACGAGTAGTCTTCCTGGGCTGCATCGAATTTCATGGGGTAAACTAAAGAAGCTTTTTAGATCTTTGACATCTGCCGTTTGCAGGGCTTTGTGTATCGCAGGATCACGGATGCTGTTACTGAAATATCTTAGGCACAGGATTTTTCTCGTTTCTGTTGGGCAGTCTGAAAAGGCGAGATGATGCAGCCTTTCGACATCCATGACGAGATTCTGAAGTGTTTTTATGGGCTTCCTGTTGGCGAGATATCAACTGAAGTGTGTTGTAGTGTTTTTAACACTTCTCTCCAAAGCGCAGCTCCAGCGCGCGAGATAGAGCTTTCAAGTCTAGCCTTTGTTTTCGGCAGAATTGCAAGGATATCCACTTCGTCTGCTCTCAGAGAAGCGGCGAGATAACAGGTCTTAGTTTCGAAATTCCATCCATTTGCGTTACACAGTGTACAGAATTGAGTCCTGTATACTTGACAGGAGATCTTCCCATTATACGGGGATAGCTTTAGAGAGGATCGTAAAGACATACGCGTGGATTCAAAGAAAGTGTCTACATATGGATTTCTTCAAGCTCTTAACGTTTTTGACAGCAGCAGCAGAAGCTTTGTTGTTGTTGATTTGTTGTTCGACGAGAAAATTCTTTCTTCAGCTTTATCTACTCTGTTTTATTATCTTTATCTACCGTATCTACTCTGTTTTCATAATCCTCAAACGTATTCGTTATATGGCAGAAATTTCTCTTTTCATTTTCTCCTGACCTACTTCAATCGTTTTTCGAACAGCTTTCATCTTCTCTTTAATGGAATCTTGGACCGCCTTCATCTGTTCTTTAACGCATTATTTTCCGCGTTTATCTCTTTTTAAAAAAATAAATTTCATTCATACGAATAATATTCGTAGCAATATTACAACAAAAGCTATTAGTAGTTGCCTCAGTTGCTCATCCATCGCTCGTTTCATGGCATTCAGTCCCACTTCTGACACCAAAAATTGTTGCGTGCGTACAGGCTCGTAATGGATACGATGCACACGGAACCGATGATAGCTTGATAAATTTATTTTAGCTTTATGTAGTTACCACTTTAGACTTCTAAGAACGTGAAGCACAACGAAACGCAAAGCTCGTCTAAAGAGCAAAGCTCGCAACTCGGAACTCAACTCTGATGCTCAGTCTTCTGTTATATACTTTACCCCGGGGTTGAGAAATCTCTGATACCTTCCATTTCTCGAAATTACTCGAAGGCATATATGGTTAAAGATACATATAAGGATCGGATACTCTTGCCTCGCCAAATCTGGTGATAAACATAAACATAGCTATCTTGGCGATATCTCTCCAGTTTAGCGAGATAGATATTTACCTCAGTGTTAAATAGACTTGTCCCTGTAACATTGTTTTTCTGGCAGAGCTTTGTGTTTTCAAGTATTTCATAATATGTTATACAAAAGATATTACATTTCACATATAATTCCACTAAAATAAATTTCATTCATACGAATAATATTCGTAGCAATATTCTAAAATGCAAAACTATGTGAGAAAATATTTACTCATACGCAAACTGAAGTTAATCAACTAGTAATATAGGCATGGCCAACTCGCAGAGGAGGACTACGTTTTAATATCTAGCAAAACCTATACCTAAATGAGGTCACATACGGCAAAAGGTATTTATTTCCCTATATCTAACACAATATAATAACGAATAATCACTTGGAAATAACAAATCAAAGCAGTCATAACAATTCATCCTCTGCAGAATGTCATAACAATCGTCAGCAAAGGTACAGGAATAATACATATGTCAACGTTTGACCAAGGTAATCTAACATCTCACTGAGTTAGAAATATGCCCATCCAAAATTGTAATGAAGCAATCTCAAGACCATTCTCGGCTTTTGACCGAATGACTTAAAAGTACCAAAGGCAGCAGTGGCCAGTCCTCATTAAAAATATGAATTAATTCTTCTTTTTCTGGTTTCCCAAAAAAGAAATATGAACTGCTGTTTGTCTGTCTAATGTTCTGCCCAAATAGGGTATATGCATATTCGTCTGATGAGCATGACAACATCATCATAAAAGTTCTAATCTAAAACGAAATATTTCTCCAGCGGCAAACACAGAATAAGAGAAGATAAATTTTCAATGAGTTCTTTACAAAAGTGGTCAACCATCATAGTTACCAGCGCATGCAGCTCATCATGTCCAAAAGCCATTACAAAATTTAGTCCCAAAATAACATCCTTCTTGTCACTGCCAAAATAACTTGTCTAGTTTCCAACTAGTTATCTTTATCTTTTCCATTACAGAACCCGATTGCGTACCAAATCGACCCTGACTGGTAAATGAATCATTCACATCAAATAATTTTGGTGAAACTGACATGATTGAAAAAGCTGTTTAAGGCGTACCTTTTATAACACAGCAAAGACCGTTGCCTTTTAAACACATAGCTTTATATAGTTCAAAGGCGAAACTGTCAGAACAGTTTTGAAAGATATTCGGGTCCCTGTACTGTAACCCGAATATCTACTAGAAAAGTACTAGGAAATCGCCTGTATCGCGACTAGGAACTAGTCGGCTAGCTGCGTATCATCGATAACGTGTAACTGCGTTCGGAATAAATACCAATTTTCTTCGTTTCGATAGAATTTTTTGGTAGACCGAAGGCCTTTTCCTGCAATTTGTAACTATAAAATTAATCCTTGTACTCACAGATTAGTATTAACTAGGTTTATTTCATTAAGTAGTTATTAGTACCGTAAATTAGTTCTAATTTATTTTTAAAAAGAAGCACTTAGTACAATTCATTTTTCTAAAACATTCTGCAATTCTATTTGGAAGTATTTAACAGGTAATATCGATTTTTTTCTATAGCTGATTACTGCTTTTTACATTTACACTTATTTGACTCAGTTATAAGAAAAAGAAAAGTATTTAATTTTATGAAGTACAATAATTAATAATAATGAACATCCTATTCGTATTATTCAAAAATTATTGTAGTTTGTAGTAGAAAAATTTATTGAATATACTAATTTATTACTAATATAATGCTAGAAGTAGAACAGAAAAATATTTCCCGTTTGATCTCAATTTTTATTTCTGGAAAAAAATAATTTTCTTTCAATTTTCAGAAATCAAATTTACTTTATTTCCTGTGCCGCCGAATATGCATCCCTACAGTGCTCCAGCTATGGCCAATATGTTACTGTAGAAATTGCTCGTGAAATTTACTACGCAAACTCTATCTGTGCTGCTAGAGGCTTGCAAGAACTCTCGCCTGTCATACCCAATCTGGATTTGGAAGACTCTCTTAAACTTTCATTGCTACTTACCTTAGAATACTTAAATTACGATAGCAAACAGGAGAAGTGACTGCTTTTGATATAACTTCAGTAACATTAGTAACGAAAATCATAACAAAATGCTAATTTCTACTGTAAATTTGGAACTATGTGTAGATGTTTTAATATTAAATAAAAGTGTAATGTTTTGTTTGTAAATATGCATTCCTTCTAAATATCTAAATAATTAACATACAACAAGGTAGACTGGGAATGAAAACAAATAATTTATTTTGCATCGCATTAGTCGCTTTGAATGCTGGGAGAAAAGTCATCTTTAGGTGTGAAAGAAGGAGTATAATAATTTGTTTGAAAATCAAAGTTCGGGAAACATTTGCAGCGGAAATTTTGATTTCCGTTTTGACCGAAAAGACGCTCTGAAATAGACAACTAAATAAAACAACAAACAGATAGTTTCCAAAAAAAAAAAAAAAATGTACACTGCGGGAAAAGAAAAAAAAAGGGGACAGTTCGATATCTCCCGTTCTCCTGGGCCGATTGACAAAATTCAAGTTGCATTTTTCATGTCTCGAAAACGCGCCTTTAGATATATATTAGATTTATATATAACATTGTTCTAACATAGGTATTTTGACAAAAAATCGGACTTTTTCTGAAATAATATGAGAATTTTGTTTCCATATTTCGATTCTACGACTCAAATTATGCCTAGATATGAAATTTTGTAAAATTTGGTGCGAAATTTACGGAGAAATTCAAAAATTTATCTTGGCGAAAATTTTTCAGTTTGCGCCAAGAGTAATTCACTTGGCGAACTTCTTAATTTACGGCAGTGTCACTTAAACTTTCAGTCGCGGCTCCCTCTTATCAGGTGATGACAGGTGACGGAGGACGGGGACGCCTGGTGTTTAACAGGGGTAAGCAGGCATATGTCCCACGCCTTCCACTATCCAGATGCAACAACTCCCTGGAGCCGCACAAGGCCGCACCGGGAGCTTATTGATATTCCATTCAGATTAAACATGGCCATACAAGGGCGACATTGGGCTACATTGAAATTTGATGTACATTTGTGGGTGGGGCAGTCTTGTTTGTGCATTAAACAGAGCATAAACACACATGAAATGTGCAGATAAATAAAAAGAATGCATGAATACTAAAAACATCTATAACATTTAAACACCAAAGACGCTTCAGACACGTAAAGACACTTAACTTAAAGACTTAAAGACACTTGAGACACTTGAGAACTTAAAGACACTTGAGAAGGTACACAAAAACACTTAAACGCTTAATACAAAACACAATACAATATGCAATAGAGGTAATACAATGTACAGTGACACAATATGCAATAATAAACGCATATAATGTAATACTCACATGCTCAGAACATACGTAACGCAGTGCACATGTACACAGTACGCATTACGCAGGACACATGAGTGATAATCTGAGATATTAGCATGTTAACGCGCGCAGTGCAGTACGATAGTAGTGTACAATCAATGCGGCTGTAGAGGTAATACAATATGCAATAGAGGTAGTACAATATACAGTAATACAAAATGCAATAATAAACTCATATTATGCAGTACTCATATACACAATTGATACCAGACGCAGTACACAGATACATGGGATGCAGTACGTAGGACACATGCAATGCAATATGCAGCGGAGGTAATATGATATACAGTAATACAGTAATAATCACATATAGTGCAGAATTCATATGCATATAATTTACATAACGCAATACACAAATACACAGGATACATATGTAATAATCGGAGGTATTAGCATATTACGCGCACAGTGCAGTAGCAATAGTAGTGTACAATCAATGCAGCCATAGAGGTAATACGATGTGCAATAGAAGTAATGCAATAAATATACAATGATATAAAGTGCAATAATAAGCAAATGTAATGCAATACTCATAAGGACAAAAGATACAAAACGCAGGAAATGATTTGCATGACGCATAAGTAATAAATTAAGGCATTAGCATTTTACTCGCGCTGTACAGCAGCAATAGTAGTGTACGAGCAATGCCGCTATAGAGGCAAGTACTTGTACAGGGTATACATATCATGCGATACGCATTAGACATACATAAAAATACAATATGCTGTGATAAGCATATGTAAGGCAAGACTCATGCACAATTGATACAAACCGCAATACACAGATGCGCAAAACGCGTGTGCTTAATATACAAAACACTATACACCGACACATAAAATACTATACCCATTGCACATAAGTAACAGAGATATAAACATGTTACATACATTGCGCATTAAAACACATTACGCAAATTTCATTATACATATAATTAAACATTACATCAACATAATTAAAACACCCAAGTAAACATAATTACACATAATTAAACATTACAGTATACACATTACGTATTAAAATCAAACATAAGCATTTTCCGCGCACGGTGTTGTTGCAATAGCATAATTACAAATCAAATGGCAATTTCCAAAGTCTGGTTATTTCATACACAGGCGCACATTTCAATCTGGCGATAAATTGCTGTCTGGCAATTATTGCAATCTTGCAATTTACAATAATAAACACATATACACATATACTGTAGTGCAGTACTCATATGCACAAAAGATACAAAAGATACAAGAAGCAAAATGCAGATATGCAGGAGACGATATGCGTGACACATAAGTTATCATTCGGAGACATGAGCATATTACGCGCGCAGTACAGAAGCAATAGTAATGTACATTCAGTGCTGCCATTGAGGCAAATACTTATACAGTGACAGATGCATATGGTGCGATACACATTGGTCATACACATAAAATAAATATGCTGTGATAAACACATATAACGCAATGCTGAAAACAAAATACACAGATGAACAAAACTCATGCGTTTAAGATACAAAATACTATACCCCGACACTTAAATTACTATACATAGTGCACATATGTAATAAACAGGGATATAAAACATGCATGACATATATCATGCTTAAGAAATTTTAACATGATGCGCTAGGTCTGTTATGCACGTTTGTTGCACAGTGTATAGCACAATTAGCTAGCACAGTTAGCATAGCTCAGTTAGCACAGGCACTCAATATACTGCGGTTGAGGACTTCTGTGAAGAACGGCGATGGACGTTGATCATGGCAGCTGCTTAAGTCGGGTGACAGACGTCTTGACCCTGTGTGGCTAGGTAGTTAACCATTTGTCAAATTTTATTCACCACTGCACGGGCCCCCTCTTATCAGTAAGATTTTTTCGAGATCCCCAGGACTCTATAATATTTACGAAATTTGTGTGGTACGTCATAAGTAAAATACTTCATAAGTATTGCTCAAATCCGACGCACGCGTGAGTGAAACTGTCAATTTTTTCACTTGTAGTGTAATATACTATTGCAGTTTTAGGTCATTAACTTTAATTTCTAAATAATTTTTTAATAATTATATTTTTTAACATTGTCATAATTTAAGACATAGAACAATGTGAAAATTTTAAATAAGTAACAGACAAAAGTAAGTAAGTTTAAATAAGTAACGTCACGTGCAATGTAAGGAAAGTGAACGTTTATATTACAAAAAGAATGTGTCGAAACGTTTTCGTTTTCTTCTTTGTCTGTATTGTCTTATCTTTATCTGTTTTCAGATACATTGTGTAAAAATATTTGGTAATAAGTTAAGAGGACTCATACACCTAAATCCCATAAGATCTTCGAATATGTGACTGTTGCAATAATTGGGATAACTTATTTATTTTAAAAGCAATTACTTTCAACTTTTTACAGCTGACGACATAATATAGTTACTTTCTGAAATAGTAACAAGAAAGGTTGTGTTGCCACAAATATTAATTGCGCGCACAGTTTAAAATATTCTGTTGCATAATTTAATTCCATAATTAATATGTAGCTTTTGTACCATTTGGAAACTACTGTGAACCAAAAATTCTAAGAATTTCATGTTAAATTTTTATATTATTTGGAGTCGAGTTTATAAAATGTATTTTATTAAAAAAATCTGTAATGTTTTCGTGCATAAAATTTTTATTAAAATGTTCATCAGGTTTTTGGTTCAGTTAGAAGATAGTGCCCGTATAAAGAATTCCATCAAACTTCAAGTATGTACCATTAGCCATTTTTAAAATATCATGCGCGCAATGTTAAAACATGACGAAACATTTTGCCACAAAGCGGATTAAATTACAAAAATGTTTGTGGCAACACAAACTTTCTGGTAACTAGATCCCAAAGCAGCTACATTATGTAGTCAGCTGTAAAAGTTGGAAATAATTGCTTTTAAAATAAATAAAATATCCCAATTCTTGCAACAGCCACATATTCGAAGATCATAAGGGGTTTAAGGTGTATGAGCCCCCTTAAAGAAATATCAAAACTGCTTCATTTTTGACGAACTCTGCTGCAGGTATCGCGATCCCCTTAGGGGTCGCGATCCACAGTTTAAGAAACCCTGATATAGAGCAAACAATTTTCCTTTCCCTTCCATTATGCCGGAGCGGAAAAAAGAGGCACGTCGTTCCTAACATTTTACATTGTGCATGAGCGGAAAAAAAGTCACATCGTTCCTACTTTCAAATAATTTTAGCAAAGTGCCTAAACCACATTTGATGTTTTATCGCTTTCAACAAATATGTCAAATTTCAAAACACGCCAATATAAAAATTTACGTATATCTTCGGAAATTTTGAATACATTATTAAAATTTGAATATTCATTAAAATTTGAATACTGTAATGTTTTGCAAGTATGTTTAGAAATACATCTGTTTTAAGATGATCGTAAAAAATTTATAGACTATAATTCAAAATGTTTTTTGAAGAATTTATAAAAATTATATAAAAACACAAATTTTAAAAATAAATCATAAAAAATGGGTGAATTTTATTTGGTTTGAACCCGAATTTCGAAATCTGAAAGGAAGAATCAAATAAGTTTAATAAAAAAAGAGAGATTAATAAATATATACCAAACTCAATTAATATTGGAGAGCTAAAATTTTGAGAGCTAGTTTTTTAAGAACTACTTGGCGTAATTTGAGTCGTAGAATGGAATCATGGAAAAAGCATGGTATGTTATTTCAGAAAAAGTCCGATTTTGTTTCAAAATATCTATATTAGAACAATGCCATATATAAATCTAATACATATCCTAAGTCGCGCTTT